CCGAGTCACCATAATATGTTAGTAGTAGTTATCGCTTGACATGATAAAAGTTAACTCTTTGAAGGGCAACAGGATATCGGAATTCCTTTGAGAGCAGAAATCATGCATCTTGTCACGGACCTGATCAAAGTGAATTCATTTATCTTATTACGACTATGTACTTATGATTTATCTACAGGCCTCAAGAGAGAATTCGTCCGCTTTGGCTCCAGTGTCGGTCATCCTAATCCGTGAATGTCTAAATCCTATCGTAAGTTCGGCCCTTCAACGCCATTCAACGATCAGTTATTGATGTATTTGTAGCTTAAAGCACAGATGGAGGAGGATGGATTGGCCATTTGGCTAGTAACTTTGCGAAATACTCCACAGGATGCTGATGCAGCCAAGCAAGTTCTATTTGATTTACTTCCTACCGCTGTTGAATTCATGGCCACGAACCTCGACCTATTGGGAACGCTTTGTCAAATCATGGAAAGCTATCTGTTATTGGACTACGCTCGAGTATTACAGGTGTGAAGCACCCTCTATTCTGAAGCATTCTATACTTATCTGGATTTTTAGTTACAAGCCCTACCATTGCATCAAGCATTTTTACAGGTGTATCAGCAGGCATTATCTACCAATATAAAGGATATGTTATCAGCAGCAAACCTCATAGTTCAGCTGGCGCCCAGCGCAATGTGGGGAGAGGCAATGCATAACTCGACCTTCTTTGCAAAGTTACTCGATTCTGTAATCGAAGATAAAGGCAAACAAGAAAATAGCCTTATTCTCGTGGAGGTTCTGCACCTTTTTGCTCGGATGATTATGAAAGATCCAATGGTTTTCGTTCAACTCGTCGCAGCCAGTTCCAGCACCCTTAATCAACCCCCCGCTTATCTCATGAATGGATTCCTGGACCAATGGTGGGCGAAGGTAAGCGTTCAGGAGAAAATGAAGCGCTTTAGTAACGTCGCCTTCAACCTTACAGTTTGACTATGTCGTCGATGCTCCACGAAGGAAGCTTGTGGCATTAGCTACTGCCCAGCTCTTAAGCACCGGAAATGAGGAAGTAGTGGATCGGTTAAAATCAATGGAGCCACTCAATATCTGGTTGGATGTTCTTGGTGAACTCAAGGAGGCTTTATCACAACGGCCAGAAGGGGAGGAGGAAGAGTATGTAATATCAACTCAATGTTTTTCACGTGTTCTAATCTCTCTACAGCTCCCCTTTGATTCGATTCTGGAAAGCTCAAGACGAATTAAATCTTCCGGATCGCCTAGAAGAGGTTACAGAGACGCTAGAGATGGATCGAAGACGAGAGGTGGGTGCATTCCTGTTTTTGGTTCACCACAGAACTAAACGGACTATCCAGCTCTTTAAACGCGACCCTGTTCGCAACGTCCCTCTGAAGGAATTTATCCAAGAGAAAATGCAGCAGGCTCAAGCGGCCGCTGCTGCTAATGGTGTTGATTTCCAAAAGGCGATGTCATTGGTTGATCAGACTACTATCGTTTCATTGCAGAAACAACTCGTTTGATAGATTACTGTACTCTTTTGAGCAGCTCTCCATCTTTGACCTGCTACCACCGTCTAGTTGTAAAAATTTTGATCACGCCTCGACCTCCTCTTCTACCTTGCGTTCTGTGAACCCTATTCTATGCGGGTATCTCGCTTTTTGGCAGTCAGACGCCACTTCAATGTCAACAATACTTTGAGATTTACGACGTATAGTCATCGGTATTATGCCAGTAGACAACCTTCAAGTTTTTCTCAACCAGAGCCGGGTCAGGGTCTACAAGCGGCAGCCAACGCACCAGTACCATTTTTCTGGCGTCTCGTAGCTGTAGGGACAACATTCGTCGCCTTTTATTATACATGGCGCCCTCTCGACGACCCGAAAAAGGATCCTCGGAACCCTCCGGACTTGGGTCCTCACCAATTTACACGTTGCACCGTTCTCTCTTTGAAACCAGATCCGCCTGAAGCTGGAAACAAGGCGGATCATGTCGTTATACAGATGAATGTGCCTGTGCGCTTTCTGCCCGAGGATGGTTCATATTTAGCGAATGCTATTCATCACGTATACATCAAGGACGACGATATGCAAATCGAAAGACCTTATACGCCATTAAATGGGATAGGAGTAGACGGGAAAATGGACTTTTGGATTAAAAAGTATCCTGGAGGGGAGGTGTCGAATTGGCTATCCAGGTTGCCGCGTCACCGGAACATAGAAGTTAGAGGCCCAGTACAACAGT